TTCTACAGAAGGATGCTGAGAATACCATGGACTGAACATGTGAGTAACGAAGAAGTTTCAAGAAAATTGGGATAAAAAAGATACACATACTTAGATTCAGAAAGATACAAATGGCATTTCCAGGACACATAATGAGGAAAGAGTGCTTGGAGAATTTGGCACTCACAGGGCCAACTGAAAAAGGACAAATGAAAGCAGCGAGTAAAATATCGCACGAGCTGATGTAAGTAGATGAAAGAACGGGGATTGGTCGGTACAGCAAAAAAGAAAAACCTTTCTAAAAGCTATAAAGGATAGGAAATTGCGGAGAGCCATGACCACCCACGTCATGAAGGGATGGGGTACAGCAGCGAGAGCCTAAGTTGCCAAAGATTAATGATAAAGGATTTTATCCTATTTCCTTTTTTATATAAGTTGATAACTTTTATCCAGTAATCTTAAAAATTTAGGAAAATATTCTAAGTAATCTAATACTTTATTGGATTTTAATTACTTTGATTTTATAGTCTTACCTACAAAGGTGATTGTTGAGGATATATTAAAAGAAGTTACCAATAAAATTTAAATTTACTACAGTTACCGCTCTTTTTTTTCTGATAATGTCATGTATGGACGTCCGTATTTCCAAATATCATCCCCTTTTATACCCACACATACAAAAAACATTTTTTTAAATACTGGGGGTTGCTGAATTGTAGTAATCTTTCACATTTAAGATTAGTAAATATAGTTTTTATTTAATAACACCTAACCACTACAAATTAATACAGAATTTTAAATGATTTAAAACTCAATAAATTATTCTTATTAAAATGCTTAAAAAAATGAAAACTATTCTTGTAAGAATTTATTACTCATCGATTTATTTTTCTTAAGACAAAAATGCATTAAGATAATGTCTTATACATAAAAGCAATTAAAAGTATATCTGATTAAATAATGTCTTAATTTTATTGCATTTTTTGTTTTATGATTCAGAGCAGATTTTCTGTAACCGAGCCTTATTGTTTTACAAAAAGAATTGATTTAAATTCTCCAAGGACTGGTGCATATAACTAGTATAAACATTAAGCTTTACAAAAAAGAATTTCTCGAAATTTCATAAAATTAAATAAGTGCAGCTTAATAGATGTAAAAAAAAAATATATATTACCATGATTTTGCAAAAAAAAAAGAAACATTCAAAAAATAATTTAATTCATTTGTGAATAACTACTGAAAGTTTCATTAAAATTCGAAAATTGTTTGATTTATGCAAGAATTACTAAATCCGTGTTTTTCACGGCAAAATGACGCTTTTTGCATACTAATTAAATAGTACGTTTTCTATAGCCCTCTGCTGAAATCTCTAGCCATAATTTTTAAGGTACTACAAAAGATTAAAAAATATAATTTATATAATGAAAAAGTCCTTTAGTCTTTCTTCTTAATAACATATAAGATTTTGACGCTAATACTTCTGCTTTATTAAGTTTGGGCATTTTTTCATCGTATATGATCATTTTTTAGCGAATCTGTAGGGATACCTGCACTAGTGTCATTTGAACCCGATACACTAAATTTTGACTTTTAACCTAGGGTAAACTGAAAATTCGGTCTGATGTATATATAAAAGGTGAAAATAAATTTACATTTATTTATATTCACGCGTGCTTTTGTAAATTATTGCATTATAAAAAAAATAACGTGTATGTGTGCGTGTGTGTATGTGTGTGTGCGTACTTGTCCTCTTGTATTTCGAGGCGAGGTTTAAAAATCTTTTTTAGATGTAAGGCACAAACATGCGTTTCAAAGAAAATAAACGTCGCTCGACAAGGAATCCAGAATTGTTTCTTCGTCTTCACACATGGACAAATAATTTAATTTTTTTTTTCTTAGCAACAAATATCACCCAGAAATTTGGGTGGACATTTTTTCCTTTTTTTTTTTTTTCCTTTCTTTTATTTTATTTTTATTTTTTCTTGTTTTCCGCTTTTTATACTGTCTTAATTTTGTAGTGCCTGCTAAGTGTTGTGTCTGTAAAGTTGGTACTTGTCAAGATCATTTATTTTGTTTTCGGGTCAAGACATCCGTGGATGGTTGAAGGTCACAAATAGCTGCTTATTTCCGACGGGCACTAGGGCTTTTGTGCTGTCATTTAAAATGCTGATTTTCATAACTAGCAAATTCTTCACACATGGTATTTGGTCTATGATAACACGAATATGAAAAAGTTAAATAAGAATAATAAATCTTGACAATACATATATAAATATAAACACACCCACCAGACAACTGAAATCTCTGTTATCTAATGAGGGAGGGGTTGGGAAATTATGCTAAAGGAAAGGGGGGGTAAAATAAAAGGGACCAATGACCTTACATGACTTAGCTAATTTAAAACATTATTGACTAACTCATACAAAAGTGCTTCTAATCTAGTGTCAGCTGCATTAGAAGCTCTTCAATAATTGTCAAAACTCCAACAACGGATCTAATGATGTGAAGAAAAAACCTTTTCTTTTTTAAAAATTCAATTTTTTTTTTTTCGTTTAGAAAGGAAAGTATTCGGATTTTCAACGTTTTTTTTTAATCGTGTTTCTATTTTTGTCTGTTGAACATACAATCCTATTACAATTGGTCTTGTCCTTCTTTTAGTTAGTTCGCAATAGCGCTACTACCTGCCAATACCTCACTAATAATAGACTCTTCCGTTTTGATCTCGGGCAAAGAGAGGAAAAGATACTTGGTTTCAGTGACAAAAAAAAAAAAGAAAGAAAGAAATGAAATAGAAAGGGAGAATCACATTGAGCTGATAAGAACAGATACTACACTTTGATCTCGGCCAAAAGGCCTTTTATTTACTTGACCCCCACCCCTTCTGAGTCAGGTTGACACAAGGTCGGTTTTTAACGTGGGATACCGAGTGTTTTCACTCAGGCCGCTGGTCCAAGCTGGTCAGAGCTGGTCTTGGCTTGTCCTAGCTGGTCCAGACCCAAGCCGGTCCAATCTAGGCGTAGGCGTGATCGAATCTCAGCCAAAAGGCCGAGAAACAGATATTTTTCAATGCGCTCACTTCGTTACAGAATGTGACACAAGGTCAGTTTAAAGTGGGTTTAACGGAAATACAGTGAAAAAAATGCCCAAGCATACTTCGCCATTATTTTGTTCGAATTGTTTTTCGTTTTCAGTCCAGCATGACTCTCGCCTCCTGCGTCCATGGCTTCGAGACCCGTGTTATCAATATAATTGAGGGAGTGCAGTGGTCCGATCCTTGTATTCAATGACGAGCTCCACCAGAGAACCGAGTAACCACCGCACCGTCGTTCAATGCTGTGTTCGCTGGCTCGGTCCCATCTTGTGACGACCTGATGACAACTCTACCGGAGTCATTCACCAGATCGACCCACCATCTGCTAACTAGAGACGACCTCCCGGCAGCTATGCAGCCGCTGGAAGAATGTCATCCGTCAGAACTCCGACAGAGATATCTGGCACTGGAGGATGTTCTGACATTCAAGTCAAGTGCTGGAGGGACCAGGTGGTACACGTGTGCTCAACGCATTCATGGTATGAAATTTAGCAGCAGCAGACCAGCTTCAGCTCATTCATCTTTCTTTTTAACAAGATAAAGAGAAAAAGCATCGTCTTTATAATCTTTGTAAACTCATTAATTGCTCTTTATTATAAACATTTCTAAATATTTTTATTTTTCAGCAGAAGGATGATGCTTTTTTAAAACGAATATGCCTTGGATTCAACACAATTTCCTTTTCAGCAAATGCGAACAAAAATTGAAATTTCTTTTCAGAGCGTGTCTAATGGATTGCGAAGTTCGAAGAGACGTGATCTTATTTTATTTTTGTAAAAATACAGTTATATGTTAGCGGTCATGTAAACACATTTTTTTTTAAAATACCGGCTATGCTGACTCAACAGGAAAAAAAAAACAAACATGGCGCGTTTTGTGTGTCGCTAGATAGGTTTTAATGGTTTTTTAATTACAGAGATACTTTCGATAGAGGTAGACACGTGTTTCTGTGTTTATAAGAAATCATATATACGAGGAAACGTTGAAAAGTTCTTGTCCTGACCCACTTTCCAAAATCAGTATTTCAATGAGCAAAACATCAAAATTGTTGTGTGTGTGGTGCGTGTTTTAAGGGTTAAAAAACTTGAGAAGCGTTGCGCTAAGTGTGTTGCGAGGCAAATACGTGAAATAGCTTTTAAGTTTTATGACTCCAGGTCATTTTTCTCCTGTTAGAGTCGAAAACATTTCAGCAATAACATCATAAAACTATACATAAGCTCAGGTACTACGTACCCTGCATATCTAAACATGTTAACAGATTGGTGGAGGTGCTGTTGGAAACCCAGCGCTATTAGATTTTGAATTTCAATACATGTGATTTGGTATTAGGGTGCTAGTTTCTGAAATAAGCAAGAGTAACTTGGGCTGCTAATATGGAAGACAATTCCAAATTTATCATTTGTAAGCTTTCAAATGTAACCTAATTTACGACGAATATATGAACCGATCCCTCACTTTGGGGTCACGATAGTTTTTAGACATTTTATATTCCAAAGAAATTATAATGTGGATATAAAGTGGGGATCAATTCTATATTAAAATCAATATATAAAGTGATCCCTCACTTTGTGACCATGATTGTTTCTATACATTTATAGTCCAAAGAAGATAAATACATCTAAAAGAGATGCCTATTGTTGCTAATCAGAATTTGATTGATTGATTGATTCATTTTCTACAGTTTATTAACATTTTGCAGGTTATTTAACGCCAGAAGATATTTTTAGATTGTAAGAATTTTTTTTTTTGTTGGGGTGGGGCGATAATAATTTAGTGATACAAGTTTTAGCTGGGGGAGAAGAGGTGGATTTCTACCTTTCCCGAGGTTATTTGCGCTTAAATGATTATAACGAACCCAACTGGAATTGGAACTCTGCTCTTCGATTAACAATTCGGAATCAGTATTCATTACACCATCCTCACACCCAAGCTTACAGCACCTTGATTCCCAGGTGGTTACCCATCAAAGTGTTGACCAGGCTCGACGTTGCTTAACTCCGTTAGTCGTACGGGAACCGGTGTTTCAACATGATGTAGCTGCAACACGAGGTTTGTACCCTCGTTGGTAGAACGATTTCCCGGATCTAAGCGCAGTACTAGATTGTCAGTTAGGTCGCATTGTCTCACTGATGAAATTGTTTGATGTAACTGAAAGTTCTATGCTTTTTCTTTTCCCGGACTTTCCACATGCGGAACTCTCTCTCTCTCTCTCTCTTCCCTCTCTCTCCCCTCTCTCTCTATCTCCCCCTCTCTCTCTCCCCTCTTTCTCTCCCTCTCCCCCCTCTCTCTCTCCCCACCTCTCTCTCTTCTGGCTTCCTGCATTCTTGTCAATTACGATCTTCAACAATTCAAATGAAATGTCTGTCCCTAATTTTCTGACTTCTTGAATCATGTTCATTTATTGTCCTTTCGGTTTCTTTCACTCTCAGTAACCTCTTGCAAGTTAGTGGTTTTTAATTCCTAACAAGGAGTGAAATGATGAAAAAAAAAAAATAATAACCCTCCAGTTTTGATAATGGCAATTTCACGCAGGTTGGTAATTATCACGTAGGGTTGAAGAACAATAAAGTAAAGTTTTCTGACATTATTCTTAATACAGGTCTGATGATAGTTACTTATATTAAATTTCCAGAATTGGAATTTGTAAATGTCTGAAAGGTTCCCATATACCGAGTGTAACAGCAAAATTGTCCATCGTGTAACAGCATTGGATAATTGTCTATCCCCAAAAATGTTTAATATCTAAATAAAAAAAATCACTAAACTAATTGAATTTCTTTTTTCCAGGTTTTCATTTTAAGACATTTAGCCATCTTTATCGTAAGAATCACTGAAAAACCGTTAAACAAATATATATATATATATATATATATATATATATATATATATATATATATATATATATATATATATATATATATATGCTATTATTAGTGAGCATGTAATAAATAGCAGGAATTGTGTGTTTGATTTTAGTGTGGACCGTTTTTTGATTTTATCTAGGTCCCACTCCATTTTCACCTCAAGGTTCTAGAGTCCTTATATATCAGATCCCGTGAGCCTTCCCTTTGTAAACAGAAGGAATGCTTACTGGGTCTGAATGTTATTAGACTCTAGTTTCTTGAAATTCAATTTTTTTCCTTCCATTATTTATATTAATTTAATTTACACGCTTATATATTTTTATATCCCAGAAAATAAACTTGATAAGGCTGGAACGAAACAAGTTGTCCTTTTTAGCTTTATTAAAAATGGCATATAATTTTTGCTTTTTCCTATCTATCGTTAAATTTTGTACCATAAAAACTTACATATATATATATATATATATATATATATATATATATATATATATATATATATATATATATTATAATAAAAAAGAAAGAACAGTAAGATATATAATCCGGTGTTCTTAATTGATATTTTTATTTTTACAAAACAGTGCTCAATGTAAATTTACAAAAATTCGCTTGAGGATGAAACAGAACTAATGCTTTTAATTTAATTATATAATTAAATTTGAAGATTTTAGCTTCGGTTTTTGAAACATGGTAATTCCTGTGTAGCGAATAAACCATATTTTAAATCAGTTAATTTATATATATATATATATATATATATATATATATATATATATATATATATATATTCAGTTGTAGAGATATTAGTTTGTAACTCTGTGTTTCACGCTTTTGCGATCATCATACAAATGATTATTGCAAAAGCATGAAACAAAACAAACTAATATCCATAAAACTGAACATCTTAGCTCTATCACAGATATTGAGCACTTTTCACTAAGTACCCTGCATTTAACATATATATATATATATATATATATATATATATATATATATATTCATCCCAAGTAAGGCAATAAAGCCACTAAGACGCAAAGTATTACTGAGTGTGAAAAAAATAAGAAAGTAAAAAGAAATATTATTAAGGAGCAAAAGCAATAAAAGAGAAAACTGTACAATGACTGCAATTCTTAAGTCATGTGCAATATAACGCTGGTGGATATATCGTCTACATTTTAATGCCTTAGCGTAAGGTATAAATTCCTTCAGCTCTTGGCAAACAGCTGTGAACGATAAAATGGTCATGTCAGGAATTACTCTTTGCTAATGTTATTATGTAATAGAAAACACCCTGTCACCCGCGCCAAATAACGCACTTTTCCATAAGACACTGCTCTTTATTTAATCGGCTGAGAGAACCCTTTTTGCTTTCCATCAGTATGGCTCATCCGTACGTTGGGTAGAATGACTCATTGCGCCTTCTTGACTTAACGTTTTCTGCTGATCTGAAGTGGAAATATTGTATTGCGCCAGTTGTTAGGTCTGCTGCTAGGAGAGTTGGTTCACTGTGTTGTGCTAGACATTTTTTTCCTCGACAGAATCAATCTTACACATTTATAAGTCTACAATTCATCCATGCATCAAATATGGCTGCCATATCTGGTTTGATGCTTTTGCTATGTATTTAGAGATTTTTTGATAAAATCCAAAGCAATGTCATTGGTCCTGTCCTAGCATCTCGATTTCCATCACTTTATTCACTGCCGCTTCCCTCTGCCTTTTCTATCAATATTTTCACACTTCTGATGTTCTTTAGAACTTCATGAATTTAAGTACAGTACAAGATTTACGGCAAGGTCTCATCATTTTACAGTTGAAATTGCTAGATGTAACCGTAAGCAGTTTCTATCCCTCGCACTTCTTGCTTGTGGGACTCCCCTCCAGCTTCTTGCTTTCCAGTCAATTGTGAGCTTTTAAGATTTAAATCCTATGTTTACTGCTCGGGTCAGGACAGAGGTTGTCTACACTAAGTTGAGGGTATATTATTTCAATGTCTTTTTTTCCAACTCTGTTAAATTTTGTGTTAAATTTTATGCACAGTACTAGATTGGTATGGCTGATGCTAACCTCCAGGAGAGTGACACCTTAAAGTGGAAAGATTATATGGAATCATTTGCTAAATATGCTGCCATGAGAGTTAGTTTACTGTGTTGTGCTAGACAATTTTTCTAATCTTACAAATTTAGTCTACCATTCGTCCATGCATCTTTTTTTTTTTTTTGGTGCTTTTGCTATGTATTTAGATATTTTTGATAAAATCCAAAGAAGAATCTGCAATGCCATTGGTCCTGACATGGCATCTCGATTTCAGTCACTTTACTCACTGCTGCTTCCCTCTGCCTTTTCTATCAATATTTTCATGATAATTGTTCTGATGAGCCTTCCTCGTTGGTACCACAATTTCCCAAATCTAAGCGCAGTACTAGATTGGCGCCAAGGTCTCATGATTTCAGAGTTGAAGTGGCTACATGTAACCGTAAGTTCTATGCTAATAGTTTCTTCTCTCATACTTCTCTCTGCTGGAACTCTCTTCCCACATTTTGCTTTCCAGTCAATTTTGATCTTCAAAAATTTAAATGCACTATCAATCGTTATCGTCTGTCTTCTTAATTTCTGTTCTTTTATTGTCCTCTCTCTTTAATAGTAATTTTCTCATATTCTCTAACACTCAGTAGCCCCTTGCATCTTAGGGGTCGTATTGCCTTTGATCTTCCAAAATTGAAATGCAATGTCAATCTTCTTTTTGTTTCCTGTTCATTTATTATTCTCTCTCATTTTTTTTCTTTTTCTCATAGTCTCTCTTCTGCAACTTAGTGGCTTTATTGCCTTGCTTGTAATGAAATAATTAAAAATGTGATCCCGTGAGAAGAGACTGGGTCGGTATAAGAGTTTTGTGGGCTCCCACCGGCCAGCCACACTACTACATCACAATTTTCATAAGGTAGTATTCATATAAAATACATTTTCTTTTGTACAATAATGGATCATATGCAATACAGGTGAAGAATTCAACTAGAAAAATTGGAAATAAATACAATGTATCTAAATAATATATAAATCATTCCATCTTAAATAAATCAACAATGTTTTGCGGCAATTTTTAACATCAACTTGAGATTTTTCTTGTTAAAAAGTTGAACAATTTTAGCACATTCAACATTAAGGATGAAAAATAGTGAATTTTATAAAGTGTTTTTTTCGATTTGAACGAGAAAAAAAAGGAACCCTTAATGACGTCAAATCTAAGAAAATATTTCATCCTTTAAGAGTCAGTTGTGCTTAGTTTAATTTGTAACGTATATAGATGTGAGCAGAAAAAAGTAAATGTTGATAAGATAGCGATAGTCACAAATCACTACCTGGGACCTCCAATCAAGCTCCTCCTCTCTGGTCTGTGGTTGGGGGGATAGTGGTAGTACGCACCGGCCCTGAGGAGAGGTATAATAACGCTATGGCATTAGAAGTCGTTGCTAAAGAATTCGGACATAAATCTTTTCGTTAGTTTCCTAATAGAAGAAACCCGCCCAAATTATCATCACCATTCTTCTTTTTCTTTTTTTTTTCTTTTTTTCTTTCTTTTTTCTTTTTTTTCCTTTTCTTTTTTCTTCTTTTTCTTTTTTTTTCTTTTCTTTTTTCTTCTTTTTCTTTCTTTTTTTTTTTGGCTTTTTTTTTTTTCAAACACTGAAAGCTGGAATTAATGTTCGTGGTCATTAGCCTAGCAGATATTTTTTGTGTGTGTGGTGGTGGTAATGGGGGGGGTTATCAGCTTTTCAAATGGTCACGTGGTGTGTCAAATATCAGGTTACGACGCTGACCCTCAGAAGATGTCTCGTTTTAAATATGAAATCGGAAGAACTTTCAACAAATCCAATTCTTACTGGGCGTGTCTCCACGTAGTAGAGAAGGTGACATTCATAATATATATTTCTAATCTTCCCTTCTGTATATTTCTCTGTATATATATATATATATATATATACATATGCATATATTTTGTCTTTTGTCTTTATATATATATATATATATATATATATAAGTGTTTTCCTTTACCAACGTGTTTCGTCCACTGAATGACCTTATCAAGGCAAATGTAAGGATTTTATTTTGCAACAGGTATTTATCAACAGAAATAAAAAAAAAACTTTCATTGGGTTTCCAAATTTTTTAATTTAAGAACG